CCACCACCCACCACCACCACCCCCCCGCCCCCGCTTTAGCTCTGTGCCTGTCCTTGAGGACAAAGAAAATGAAATCCTAGAGAGAGGGTGAGGGCTCGTTTTCTTGGCTGCTACAGAATCAAAGATTGACAAAAAAAAAAAAATGAAACCTTACATTGAAGGCATTCAGGAAATACTCCTGGTGAACCACTGTGAGTGAGAACGAGTGCAGCAATAGAATAAGAAAAACACAGTGGCCAGTTACATGAAGCGAGGCCCGTCTACAGCAGCTGGAGTCTGGTGCTTTATGTTTACCTTTGATGATTCTTCAAGAGAGAGACTTAGAAATGACTGTGGCTCCTCAGGTTTGTGTGCTGTGTGTGTGTGTGTGTGGTGTGTGTGTGTGTGTGTGGTGTGTGTGTGTGTGTTGTGTGTGTGTGTGTGTGGTGTGTGTGTGTGTGTGTGGAATGCCTGTCCCCACAGTCTCATTTGAATTTCCTCAAAGTCCAGGATCTAAAATGGCCTGCAGGTTGCTCTAGTAAAATATCGCATATGCTTCTTTTTCTTTCTGCAGCTTAAGGTGTCCAGTAGGATTTGTGTACACACAAACACACCGTGCACACATAAATATACACATACGCTCAGAAGAAGCTGTCATGCTACTGCCCTGCAGCTGTTGTCTGCAGGTGTAGACATCTTTCAGATTTGGCACCGGGGATTCAAAAACAATGACCAACATTGAAGGTATGCTTTCAATCAAGAGAGTCAGTGTGATTCCAACATCTGTCTGAAGGCCACAGAAAAGCAGAAAACTCTTTTCTGTGGCCTTCAGACAGACATAAGTCTTCTGCTCAGTATGTAAAACATGTGTTTGCTGGCAGGGCATTTCATCGTGTGCATGCGAGACCCACTGGTTTTGGTTTAGGCATTTCAGAACCACGGAAAAGCAGCATTTTTTTTCATAATATCTACCACAATAATCTAGATTACTGTGTGAGATAATTTTGCGCCCCTGTATCAACATGAGTAAAAGCATATGAAAAAACATTTAGCGAATGTTTGTAACACATACTGTCTAGACACTTGGCTGGACAATGAGCCTTAAAGGAATTTACTGTGCGTAAATCGTGTATAAGCAGTTGAACAAGGTTGAGCCTGGTGGTCCTTCACTGTGTTGAGCAGTATGTAGGTTGTGCTGGACACAAACAAACAACCAAACTACCTATCTTGTAAGCAATCCATAAAGTTATAATATGGAACTTTTCCACATTAAAATCTCTACAAATGATTAGACCTACATCATATTTTTTATGTTGTGTTCTCACATTATCCCAGATGTTTCCAGCAATTCTCAAACCTAAGAAATCTGTGATTCTACTCATGGGTAACGCTATGTGTCATTTGGTCGCCTTGTCAATGGCGTCATATCCCGTCTGTGCATGCGTTTGGTTGTCTGCCAAAAGCTCAAAATGGACTTTTATTCAGTTTTAAGCAACATTTACAGAATACACTTTTTACACCTTTGGCTGTTTCCAACTATGCATTTTAACGGGAGAAAAAAAGCCAGGCAAATGTTAGGCAGCTCAGCTCACAAACCTCCTGGACGTCTGGATCATAAGTTATCAGAGAAACAAAGGTTACAGCAATCTCAGCTCCCAGCCCTTCCCCGACGTCTCCTGTCCGCCGGACGGGAGCAACTTTAAAAGGTTAAATTCATTTATTCAGTGTTTTACTGGTTATAATCACAAGGTCTGTTGATTTTGGAGAGGAAACCTCTGGATAATGCAGCTCCGGTTAAAACTTCCTGAACAACTGACACTGAAGAATCCAAACTGGGAGAAGCTGACAGCAATGGTGGTGAAGACAACAACTCCCATGATCCACACTACTTCACAACATCGCCACACGCCGTCCTAGCAGCAGAAGTTACATAATGTCGTTCAAAAGTTACATTTTTTTCTTCCTTATAATACCAACATACCCTAAAATATAAATATGGAGCAATAGCCAAGCACTTGCATGACCTCACAAACGGCCCGGTGTCATTGAACCCCCGTGTCAGTGTGCATCCACCCTGCTGAACTGCCTTGAGCAAGACACTGAGTCCCTGACAGCACAAAGAGCATTGTTCTCTAACTGCTGTTGACCCTGTCTTTAAGTGGATCTGCACAATACAATTTTACAAGACACTAACTATAACTTTACAGCATTTTTAATTAAGCCTATAGAAAGTTGTAGGAAAAAAAAGAAAGAAGAATAAAATAAAAAAAATGCTTTAACTGGAACAACTCAAAATACACACCCACCCACCCACCCACACACACACTCCCAGCATATCAAATTATGGGTCATACAACCTTAACTGTCAAATATATTTCACATCAACACACAGCTGGGAGTGCTTTTTAGAGCACACTTACTCTTATGTTTAAACCTCCCTGGGATCCATGTTCTGTCAACTTTGAACTCCTGACCCTCACACAACGGGCCAGTGGGGAGAACAGTCCTCCTTTCTACCCACTACTAATTACTACCACCACCACCACCCCCCCGCCCCCGCTTTAGCTCTGTGCCTTGTCCTTGAGGACAAAAGAAAATGAAATCCTAGAGAGAGGGTGAGGGGCTCGTTTTCTTGGCTGCTACAGAATCAAAGACGTGACAAAAAAAAAAAATGAAACCTTACATTGAAGGCATTCAGGAAATACTCCTGGTGAACCGCTGTGAGTGAGAACGAGTGCAGCAATAGAATAAGAAAAACACAGTGGCCAGTTACATGAAGCGAGGCCCGTCTACAGCAGCTGGAGTCTGGTGCTTTATGTTTACCTTTGATGATTCTTCAAGAGAGAGACTTAGAAATGACTGTGGCTCCTCAGGTTTGTGTGTGTGTGTGTGTGTGTGTGTGTGTGTGTGTGTGTGTGTGTGTGTGTGTGTGTGTGTGTGTGTGTGTGTGTGAATGCCTGTCTCCCACAGTCTCATTTGAATTTCCTCAAAGTCCAGGATCTAAAATGGCCTGCAGGTTGCTCTAGTAAAATATCGCATATGCTTCTTTTCTGTTCTGCAGCTTAAGGTGTCCAGTAGGATTTGTGTACACACAAACACACCCGTGCACACATAAATATACACATACGTTCAGAAGAAGCTGTCATGCTACTGCCCCTGCAGCTGTTGTCTGCAGGTGTAGACATCTTCAGATTTGGCACCGGGGATTCAAAAACAATGACCAACATTGAAGGTATGCTTTCAATCAAGAGTCAGTGTGATTCCAACATCTGTCTGAAGGCCACAGAAAAGCAGAAAACTCTTTTCTGTGGCCTTCAGACAGACATAAGCTTTCTGCTCAGTATGTAAAACATGTGTTTGCTGGCAGGGCATTTCATCGTGTGCATGCGAGACCCACTGGTTTTGGTTTAGGCATTTCAGAACCACGGAAAAGCAGCATTTTTTTTCATAATATCTACCACAATAATCTAGATTACTGTGTGAGATAATTTTGCCGCCCCTGTATCAACATGAGTAAAAGCATATGAAAAAACATTTAGCTGAATGTTTTGTAACACATACTGTCTAGACACTTGGCTGGACAATGAGCCTTAAAGGAATTTTACTGTGCGTAAATCGTGTATAAGCAGTTGAACAAGGTTGAGCCTGGTGGTCCTTCACTGTGTTGAGCAGTATGTAGGTTGTGCTGGACACAAACAAACAACCCAAACTACCTATCTTGTAAGCAATCCATAAAGTTATAATATGGAACTTTTCCACATTAAAATCTCTACAAATGATTAGACCTACATCATATTTTTTTATGTTGTGTTCTCACATTATCCCAGATGTTTCCAGCAATTCTCAAACCTAGAGAAATCTGTGATTCTACTCATGGTAACGCTATGTGTCATTTGGTCGCCTGTCAATGGCGTCATATCCCGTCTGTGCATGCGTTTGGTTGTCTGCCAAAAGCTCAAAATGGACTTTTATTCAGTTTTAAGCAACATTTACAAGATACACTTTTTACACCTTTGGCTGTTTCCAACTATGCATTTTAACGGGAGAAAAAAAGCCAGGCAAATGTTAGGCAGCTCAGCTCACAAACCTCCTGGACGTCTGGATCATAAGTTATCAGAGAAACAAAGGTTAGCAGCAATCTCAGCTCCCAGCCCTTCCCCGACGTCTCCTGTCCGCCGGACGGGAGCAACTTTAAAAGGTTAAATTCATTTATTCAGTGTTTCTACTGGTTATAATCACAAGGTCTGTTTGATTTGGAGAGGAAACCTCTGGATAATGCAGCTCCAGGTTAAAACTTCCTGAACAACTGACACTGAAGGAATCCAAACTGGGAGAAGCTGACAGCAATGGTGGTGAAGACAACAACTCCCATGATCCCACACTACTTCACAACATCGCCCAACGCCGTCCCTAGCAGCAGAAGTTACATAATGTGCGTTCAAAAGTTACATTTTTTTCTTCCTTATAATACCAACATACCTCTAAAATATAAATATGGAGCAATAGCCAAGCACTTGCATGACCTCACCAAACGGCCCGGTGTCATTGAACCCCCCGTGTCAGTGTGCATCCACCCTGCTGAACTGGCCTTGAGCAAGACACTGAGTCCCTGACAGCACAAAGAGCATTGTTCTCTAACTGCTGTTGACCCTGTCTTTAAGTGGATCTGCACAATACAATTTTACAAGACACTAACTATAACTTTACAGCATTTTTAATTAAGCCTATAGAAAGTTGTAGGAAAAAAAAAAAGAAAGAAATAAGATAAAAAAATAAAGCTTTAACTGGACAACTCCTACATGGTGCATCAGGATATGAAATATGCAAGAGGCATACCTTCCCAACCCAAACGCAGCCCTGCCTGAAGCGGATGCTGTGTGTGCATCTAGCATTAGCTTACACGGTTGCTATTAATAGAACTAGTGTCCTCTCTGTAGAGAAGCAAAATGAGCATGTGAGTGATGGAGGGCTTTCCTGGCTCCTGTCCATTTTGAGAGCCAGATGACATCGTGGCATTCGTGTAATTTACCAAACCAGTTTCAATGTCCAAATACCAGAAAATCAGATGATTTGGTGTTTTAAAATCAGTGTCAGTTAAAGTGAAGTGAAGTGAAATATCCTGCACCTACACAGCTGCGGCTATTTCTTTTTTCTTTGTTGCAGTTAGTAACCGCAGTGAAATGACAATCAAACAAAGCTACACCAGTTTGTGTTGTGTACATATCTCTGTGTTTTTGTCTGTTACATAACTATTGTTTACAATGATCAGAATATTATAATACAAGTGCTACAAAAACAAACAAATCCCAACCGCAGAAATCTTAAATTTGCTGCCAAATGTGATGGGATACAGCACCGCAGTTTCACTCAGGTCTGAGAAGCAGATGAACGTTTTCCTTGTGTGAACGCACAGGGTGCAGGTCAAAAAGTTCTTTATTTTAAGTTACTTCATCTCAAACTCTGAATTGATATTCTGTGTTGTGTGAACACAACCCCACTGACCTTACACTGACTTTGTTGTTCAGTCTGCATGGATTATCTTTCAGTAGTGAAAGTAGCTTCTGACTTTGAAGAGAGAACAAACCACAAACCCAAATCTATTTGAAGCCTGACATCTACTGGTGTAGAGCAGATACTGAAGTGACTGTTATTTTGGTGCCAACCATATTGTCAGTTACAACTAATTAGATGATGTATCGTTGTGCTTAATTGCTTTGGTTGCTTATATGGGTCTGTGATTGTATTTAATATAAGGATATAAATCTCAGTATTAGCACTACTGAAGTCAGAATTTGGGTATGACAACTCTAGCCTGTGTAAACTGGTGTGTCCGTACCAACATTGGCGATGTAGAGCTTGTTGTTGAGGATCAGCGCCACCACGGCTGTAGCTCCTCCTGACACCTCCTGCTCCAGCTCCTTCAGACGCTCCTGCACCTTCTGACTCTGAGAAGAAAGCTGGTGGAAGGACACGTTCTTCCCAGCCGGGAGGAGAGGAGGAAGACCGAGGGAGGAGGAGAGGAGAAAAGAGGGGAGGAAAATGTAGTGAGTGGGAGTGAGGGAGGGAGGGAGGGAGGGAGGGAGAGGGGAAGATGGAGATGAGGAAAATAATCAGTAGGAGTAGGCAGATTGAAGGAGGGAAAGAGGAAATGAGACAAATGATAAAAGAGGAGATATGAAATAAAAGAGCATTGAGCAAGAGACGTGGGACGAGAGACACGGGGCGAGATTAAAAGCAAGTGGAAACAAGAGGAAAAGGAGGAGTGGTGGTAAAAGAAAAGAGGAAACAGGCAGGAGGTGAGATGAAAAAGGATAAGAGATGAGTAAGAACACAAGAGATAGTGAGCATGAAAGAAACAGATAAGCAAATAAGAAAAAAACATGAGAACAGACAAACGGAGATTATAACTTCGTGTTCCTAATGAAACACTGCCACAAAAAAGTGACTAACTTCATCTCACAAAAACGCCTACACCTTCAACTGTATCAGACCCGAATGCAATATGTGAAGCGGAGGAAATAGAGGAGAGATAACTGTCGACTGGCGCGAGGAGAAAAAGATGGGGTGGGGGTGGTGGTGGTGGTGGGGGAGGGGGGGGGGGGCTGGATCCACAGAGAGGAAAACTGAGACAGGCTTATCTAATGAAACAGGCTGATGAGACCAATTAGAACATAATAAGCTCATTCTCCAATGGCTGCACATTAGCTCACACACTGGTGCCCGAATCTGAGGTTGCTATGGAAACCAACACAAGAATTCCTCGTCTCGGTTTACAGCTTAAACTGTAAATATGCTTTTTGCTGAGCGCGTGTGGTGCGTGTGGTACCTCGTTGTGCGGTAGGACGTAGTTGGACAGGTGGGCTTTCTCAGCCAGAGCGTCGCCTATCGTCTCAAAGTAGCTCTTCTCCACCGCATCAAAGGCCTGCAACAACAATAACACACACCTGGATGTATGACAATGACACAGAAATGTAGGTGAGGAAGAGTATTGCTACTGTAGAGTTGATAACTGATGACCTTCAAGTCAGTTCAACAGAACAGGTGGGATCTTCTGTTAATGGTGTTTAGCGCAGTGTAATGTCAATAGAATGGGAGCAGTATTAGCACCTTGGGGATAAACATCCACAATGCAGTGAACTACCATCTTCCTTCATCTGATCAAGTTAGCTTGTAAATGTAATGCAGTTTTGCAGTCGACCACCACAAACATGTTTAAGCTTTGGGGGAAACACTGCACAGCTCTGGTTGTTTTCTGTTTCATGTAAAACACTTTGAGCTGCTTTTGATGCACAGTCGTGAATGCCGTATAAAGCCATGAAAATATGCATACACTGCTAGATACACCAGTATTATTGATTGATGTTTCTGTGAGTATTTTTTATTGTGATCACTGACGAAAATTCAAACTGCGGAGCTGTGTGGCAATGAAAGACTTCATTAAACGCATTAGCTTCATGCAGATACAGTCTACTTGTGCAGAGGTGAAAAAATAAGCAGGGTTTAAATTTCTCTCTCAAGCTCTGTTTTGTCATTTGTCACACAACTATTTCGGGCACTTTTTTGTGTGTATACTTTAAATTCCCTAAAGGAAAGAGTGGTTGAAAATGGGCTCCGTTCTCTCTCTTTATTTAAACGACTATCATGTCTCACCCTCCCTGCGATGTCTGACGTTTCACCCTGCCTTCAAGTGTGGCCATTCAGTCGCTAAATAATCATTAACATGTAACGTAAAAACATACAAACCTGAGTAAGGATCCTGCGGACGTCGCCGTCTGTGTGATTGGAAGTGAGCTGTCCTAGCAGCAGTTCAGCTGTGAGACACTGGGAGGCAAAACTGGCCACTCTGCTGCCATCATATCCGTTAAACACCCCGTACAGGAAGCAGCCATCCTCGCCTCTGATTAGTGGACAAAACACAACAAACATGAGGCTCCTGTTACACTTCAAGCAGGAAAGACAGTAAGAATTTGGACAAAACATCCTTCATCCACAACTCTCAGGATTGTAGTTTGTTTGGTGTAAAGTGTAAGGTTAAGAGGTGTGAAGGCCCAATGATTTCTGTTTGTGTGACATGTTTGAGAACAACTGAATGGGTTAGGAGAAACTGACAGTAACTAGATATGTACATCTTTTATTTAAGTTACTATAAATGTTGAATTTGAGACTTTGAAATACAGCACAGAGACTCATTCACATTTAATGTAACTCCTTTCTGCAGTTTGAGTGCTTGGCTGCCTTGACTTCATGCAGTACCTGTAGCAACATGACTGCATATGTAACAATCTTTTGGATCAATGTGATTTATTTCCACATAATTAGGCAAGCAATACCACACAGCCACAAGGGAAAGCTGTAAAGCACATTACACACAATTCTCTGGTTGTGTTTGCTGTGCACGTTCACAATCAAATAATCCATAACCTGCTTTTCCACTGATAACTGCATCTATTAGCAAGAGTGAAACCAGATGCCTGATGTTCATAATGCACTTGTTCCCCTGGTGGAGGATTTTATAAAATGGAGAAATACTATAATATTGACATAGTAGAAAGAGATTTATTTACATTCATTGTTCCCTATAATTGGGCAATATTAAGCCTGGAATGTTGTTTTTTACCGCAAGTTATCATAATGTTACCAAAAAGGTAATAAGTGGATGTGTTTTTGGGTCAGCAAGTTTGCAATCATTAAAGACTCAATTTTTAAAGCCCTGTGTGAGACACAGAATCCCCACCAGGGACCTGTTTTAAAAGTGGGCACCAATATAATGATGCCATCAGCTGGATGAACAACAGGTAGTTTGATTATTTTACATGTGACAAATATTTATTTACTGTATAGCATTCATATAAATGATCCCCACTGAAAAAAGGTGTCTCCTCCTCAGCAGCTATCACTGTAGGCTTGACACGCTTTTGTTTTTGTTTTTTTTTACTTCATTCTCTGTTCTCATTGAAGGCTCACCTGAACCTGAGGTGTCCATCCTCGTTGGGATGGCTCTGAGTTCCTTTCCCATCAGGACTGTACACACAATTGGGAGCTGTGCCAACCCCACACATCTGGCACAGTGGCAGGTCATCTGTCCAGCTCTGATGCTGTCAGGGCAAAAAGGGAATAAGGGATAAGGCCTTACTCCATACATCAAGACATGAGTAGTCATCTGTACAGATTATCTGTTCCAGGTCAAGTAGAACAAGCAGACAACATTTGGTTACATCTGCTTTGAGTCCCACCGCTTTATTATGGTTAAGCTCACCCCAGATAGTGACACTATGAATGCTATGCTGTTTAACCAGTAGACAAATAGGAAAATCAAAACAGCAAAGTTAAATACTGTAATCTGTATTTATCTGCATTAAAATGGACAAAAATGACCATTGTGGTTTTAACCCTCAATGCCTACATTAAAGAACGACACAGTCTCCATAGGATGTCAGTGGAACCACAGAACATAGACCCCAGTCGGACATAAATCAGGACCTATTAGACAACATACACCATCATAACAATCACACCAAGCAAAGTTTCTGAGGAATCATTTAAGTGAAAAAAAACTAACATACTAACACATTTATCGCTTCACAAAAACGGACAATATAAACTCTAACTTACAGCCAGAAATTTGTTCACCGTGTTTGTTTACAAAGTGGAGAGTTAGCCGATTCTGACTCTCAGCTAATTCACACAAACTGTGTGACAGATATACAGGAACCGGTCACACCCTTAGATATAGCTACTGCCTTTGGTGATTATACACCAGTGAATCGCATTATTTTGGGATTAGAGTTGGGATAGCTAGCTAACTGTTAGCAAACCTCTTAATAAGATCAACTAAATTAGCTAGCAGTAGCATCACTGAACACAGGAAACAACACTGAACGAAAAAAAAGCAAAGACGAACACCGAGCAAGATTAAAGAGACCAAAGCATTCAACTGTAATAATTCAACTGTGACATTACATGTTAGTGAAAGTAATATATAGTTGAGTTTTCACTTACGCTCTGCATTAAATTCCTACGCTGAGCCGCCATGTTGGACGGGAGTCGTTGCATTCACGGACAATTCGTCATTACTTACATGAAGCCTAGATGAATACTGATAAGCACAACATTTAGCTTTTTTCCACTTCATTCCATAATCAAAGACTTAATATTTCTAGATCAGGCGTCGACAGCAATTTCATGCTACCTTTATTCTCTCCTGGCGCCTTGTGTCGTTAGATTTACCAATCAGTGTGGTTCATCAGCAATCGTCTAAATTTCGGACAGCACGTTAAGGCAGCATCAGTACAATTTCCCCTTTTTTTCGAGCTATTGGGAAATAATATAGGTTCTCTCTATAGTTGCTGCTTAAAACGTTTAATTATAATTCTTAATTATTTTCATTTACAACGGTAACAGTAAAGAACGAAAATAAAATAAAATAAAATAAAATAACACCACTTCCGGTTTGTTGCTACGGATTATTTTGACAATACCACCACCATATGGGATTATTATAAACTACAACTGCAGCTACATGTTGCTGATGGCTGTTGAGCCTTTATGCATCATCATTCATCACCACAGGGTCCGTGCATGAAGTATAATTCTTCTGCAGTTGTTCACGTTGTATAATGAAAACATGACAGTTATTGCCTAATTTCATTGTCCTACTTGTGCTAAATCTAAATGTGTGTTGACGTTTGTGAGCTCGTCTTCAAAGTAAAGGTTGCGCGTTTTGAACAAACGTGCTGGCTGCAGCGGTCAATTTAAGGAGAAACTTAAATTTAATTCCCCTTGCTCCGGCATGTCCTGTACCCAGGACCGGAGCCTACAGGAAGAGGAAGGCGGCTCGAAGCTGCTGTGGCAGAGCGGGGGCCACAGCCTGGAGGAAAAACCCGCCGCCAACCAACATCATATACAAACAAAAGTGTGGTCAACCCAAAAGGATTGACACTGACCTCACTCACATTGCAGGTGTGTCATATAGTGTGATTGTTGGTGGAGAGACTGTGGATGAGTGGAGGGAAAAGATGAACAGAAGACAGGAGGACAACGTTTTCTATCTTCATTTATGATTTTTAAAAAACTGATTGTTGAACTGAAGAAACCATCCATCCATCCATCCATCCATCCTACCATCAGTTCCTTGCTGAATTTCCTGAACAAAATAAATGGTTAAATGTCTCTTGGATCCATGTGTTTAATGTGCACACCAGTCACCAGTCATGTGAATCATACGCTGTGGCCTTCGGTCACCAGCTCCCAACCCAGTTTAACAACCACTGAAGCTGTTTTGGCTCAACACCTTACTACTGCACTTTTTTTTTCTTTAATTTGTCAACTGTCTGGTTTATTATACGTCACTGAGGTGTTTTACTCATCTACGTTTATTAGGCTGCAACATTATTTACAGACCCAACACTGTTGGGTAGAATATGAACTGAATACACCCAATAATGTCTTGCAATATCAGTTCTTACATGTGACTGGACTGCAGTTAGAAGTCTTACCAATGGAGGGAGACATGTGCCATATTTCTGCGTCTGACTGCAGCTGTTCAGTATCACTACAGGACTGAAAACACTTAAATGAGCTTTTATCTACGGTATTTCTGTTCTGTCTATTCAGCTTGTAAGTGTGAGGAACACTGGAAACACCTCTTGAACACAAAAATTCCACTTTTACAGGTAGAAAAGTTGAGTGTATCTCATAATAACTTTCCCAAAATGTGAAAATACTCCTTTAACTGATACAAAAAGCTGAATGCTGCTCGTGTTTTCTGACCAGTGCAACATTAAAACAACTGTTTTTTGATTTTGCAAGGTAGTATGACAGTTTCTGTGTATTTTAGCAGGTTACTAAAAATGATAAATAACTGAAGATGGTACTGAAAATGCAGCTAAACAAAAATCCCCATCCAGTCAGTCATATCTTTATATCAGTATTTTTCTTTATTTTAATTGGTTAAAATCAAACACATCAAAAACATACATTTGTACACAATCTTTTTCTTAAATCTTACCTTTTTAACAGATTTCACAGAGGAACATCACACATTTCTAAGTCTACACTGTTGTACAGTATAAAGTATATATATGTATATATACTTTGATAATTTGGTCACATTTTTGTTGTAGTATTTTTTTTTTAATAGTTAGTATTATTATCCCAAAATAAAAACATCTCCGTACCCTGAAAGCAACATAAAGGACGAGGCATGGATGACCTCACCATATACAGTATCATATCACAATAACACTCAAAAGACCATAGATTTTCTTTCTGTTGTATTTTCCTTTTTTTATACAGAACTAGCATAATGCCCTAAAATAAAGCATGATCTTTTTGTTAAACACTATAATATACTGAATTATAGATTTACATATATTTATAGAGAGATAGATATACTTTATTCTTTAAGAAAATGGAGCAATGCATGTTCATAAATACTCAGGATGTTCATGGTTGCCTCATCTGTAGATTTGCTGAAATAAGGTGGAAAACACAACTGATATATAACCTGCAGTTCTTCAGTGTGGTACGCTGATTTGTGTCATTTGGAATGCTCTATAATGATGTCAGGTGCTTGGTTGCACTGAGGGTTTTTACGTGCTTCAGGACAAAAACAAGACGAAATTCAGTTTAGCTGTACTCTCACCCTAAAGATGCCGAATGTGAACCGTGATCCTGTGCATGTTGGGTATGTTGCCCTGTGTTCGTTGGGTTTTGCTTGGCAGTCAGCACTAAGGCAACAGTCGAGGAAAGAAAAAGCAGGTTCTTCGGGGGAAACAAGAAAACACAAACTTCCACACTTCAATTAGAAAAAAAAAAAACAGAGGATACTTTGTAACACACACACACACACAGACACACTCCCGCTTCCTGTAATGCGCCTCTAAGGAGTTTCGTCAGCAGAAACTTGTCTTGTATCTGTTCAAAATCAATACGCTGTGGACCGGTGCTTGCATGTGTGTTTGTTTGAGGGTGTTTCAACTAACACTGATCGCAGTCATTTTGCTGACTGTCGGCAGACCTCAGAAGATGAAGGCAACGTGGTCACAAGCATTGATCTGCTACAGTGTGACCGTTTCTGCAAACACTTGACCTCCCAATTGTTTTCTAAAGACCTCAGCCCTCCTTAACACCTCCAATCGAACCCAGCGTCTCTCCCATCCCACGACCCCTTCCCACAGATGTCCCTGACCCTTTCCTGTTGTTTTACCTGCAGACTCACACATGATTGACCTCTTATCCCACCCTTTGCTTTTACCTGTCCTTCCCCCAAAATCTGGAAAGTTGCCCAAGATTTCTCACCTAGAGACAAATTCTGACGACATTTAAGTCTGATAACTGAACTATCTATAGGTATGAAATACACTGCCTTCCCCCTGATCACTGTAGGTCACACTGGCTGAAGAGCATCAGCTAAATGGATAAATCCTTGCACGTATTCCTGGGCCAAAGCTGGAACAATACTGCATTGTTCTGACCAAGAGTTGTTGTATTATTGTTTAACCAAATGAAAATATGGTAACGTGTATTCTCTGCGGTTTTGAATGTCACATGTTTGCACATGTTGCAATGTCTAACTACCTTTTCTAACAGTTTGAGGCTAAAACTTGAACTTATGTCTAACACTGGGTCAAAACAACCCACTCGTACTGGGTAAAGTTAACCTAGCATTGCGTCAGTTCTATATTGATAGTAAACAATACAAACTGCTCTAAATTAGAAACTTTGGGCAACATCATCCAGATCCTCCCCACTGTATATCTACCCCCAAAACATCTCAGTAGTCCTGACGCTGGTAACCTCCAGTGCCATCAAAGGCTCCATCGCTGTTGGCCTGGCCCCCTCCTCCTCCTCCTCCTCCCCCCGGGCTCTCCAGGTCATCCCCACCGAAGGAGGTGTAGGGGGCTCCAGCTGCATCCTGGCTGGGGTCCATGTATTCCTGGGAGAAAAGGGCTGAGTCGGCGCCCAGCTTGTACCTCTGGAAGGCCAGGAAAGACTGGCCCGCCTTCGATGGATGATCGGACACAGTGAAGGACAAGAAGGCGAAAGAGGTGCACAGATGGTGATTGAAAGGTGTGGAGATAAATGTTGAGGGGGAGATGCAGTAGTGTTAAAGCAGATGGTTTGGGAGCAGAGAGAGAACAGAGGGGGAGAGAAGGAAACATTGATTAGTTGGCTGGAAAGCTTGTGAAGCATATTAGATAGTCAGAGTGAGTCATTTATTCAGTCAGAGCAGGTTAGTTCTTCAGGCAGCATTGCAAAACAGGATATTTATCCATTGTTCAGCTCCAGAGTGAGGGACAACCGCTTCTCACCGAGTCAAACTGAGTCTGTGTGCATTATTAAACAGCTGAGGGCCTGTCCTGTAAAACACCACAAATCTCACTTTAGTCAATAATTAGAGATGTCTCAAGACAACACTGTGCAGAAGCCAGATATCGAGTGCACAGAGCAAACAAAGGCACTCACACAGAGGAAGACAAAACCACAGAGAGAGTCAGTCCAGTTGATTTAAGCTCAGAGTTCTGGGAAGTTTCATGAGGAAGTTTATTTACTGTTGTGTCTCGGCTGATCAGTCCTTGGGTCCATTACATGATAACACATTTTACAGACTGGACCCTGAATATTTCAGATTTTTTTTTAATATGGATGTAGAACATTTTATGATAGTAATGGTGTAATAAAACTTAATTTATGGCAAATTAGCATGCACAGTTTCAAGCCATAAAAATCCAATCAATATGCAATAAAACCGTGTAATACTTAAAATACTTAAAAGCTCCCTGCTTATACTATGAAATCAATCTCAAAAAGCTATAAAAAAAAACAACCAATCTACCAACTGTCACAAAATAATAAAGTAAGGGAAAGCATGGACATTTTAGGATTTTTATTTTTTTTGCTTTTGGGCAGAAAGTTATATGAGACTTTAAACTTTAATGTCTGTCAGCTGAATATAAAGCTACAGCCAGCAGCAAGATTAGCTAAGCTTAGGGGAGCCCCGGTGGGTCACCTGGTAGAGTGCGTACCATGATGGCTTAGTCTTAATCGCAGCGGCCCGCAGCATGTCACCCCCTCCCTCTCCCTGACTTTCCTGTCTCTCTCTCTATCGGAATTAAGGCAAAAAAATAAAAATTAAAAATTAATAAATAAAGCTTAGCATAAAGACACAGTGGGAAATTACTAGCCTGGCTCTTTCCAAAGGTAACAAAATACACCCACTGTACCAGCACACCTAAAGATCAATAACTGACATGTTATATCTGTTTGTTTGTTTGTCCCAAGCTCCTGTCGCTTCTGTCTGTGGTCAAGAAATAGCACATAACCCCCGTAGCTAGCTGTTTTCCAGTCTTTATGCTAAGCTAAGCTAATCAACCGCCGGCGCCAGCTTTGTATTTAACATAAAGATAGTTTAAGGAGTGGTGTTGACCTTTTCATCTCAGTGTCTGCCCAAAAGTGAATAAACACATTTCCCAAAATGTCCAACTATTCCTTTAAGGTATGGAGTCCAGGTGAGGATAAGGTTTGAATGCAGCTTTATCAAAAACCAAAAGTAATACAAAACCTTTAAAACCATGGTTTAAGCAATGCGCTTTGACAAATTTACAAATACTCATTACAAAAATCTAATGAATCACACAGTTTCTAAACTAAATTGTTACAGAGAAGAAAAAAAGAGTTATTGTGCAATCCTTCATATTAATGGTGAAGAATGACGTGGTAGCCTGACCTGTGAACTGAGACTGCGCTTGTTGAAGGGCTCCAGGTTTGGTGGTGAAGCTACATCTGGACAGTGTGTACATGTCGCACACCTAACCTCCTCTGCAACAAACTGCTGAGTTTTGAATATGAAGTAAAAACTAGGCAAAAACCAAAACAGAACCAAGACCTCGTGGCAGATGGAGAACACACAAGTCTCTGTGATTAAGCATCTTAGAATTTAAGAACCTAATATTCAAACAATCAAAAACATCTACATGAATAAGGATTATTAGTTATTAGTTCTCCCTCCAAAAAGGATGACAGCAATTTAAGTAGGTGTTTAAGGCAAATCTCAGCATTTGGCAGTGTAATTGTTGAGTCATCAGTATTGATCAACTCTTAAATCAACCCACCTGCACATACATTATCATTATAATGTGCTTGAGTCAGGAAATAAGTTACTTAATTACGGTAGGCAAAAACATTGAGTAACATCTTACTGGCAACACTGATGGTACAACTGTTTGTCTTACTCCTGGCTTACAGATACACTCACGTCCAGCAGTATGTGATGTTACTGGGTGCCTTTAAACAAGTGCAACCTCAGTCAGGGAGCATGTAGGACCAGCTGCAGAGGGTTAAGGCAGCAGGGGGGGAGAAGACAGAGCAGAGTCAGACAAAAGGTTGATGAGGCTGAGGGGGGAACAGCTTGGTGTATTCCTCTTCAAATGACACATTCTTTAACTTCTCCATAGAGAAGAGAGTCTGGGCGCCCTGTTGGAACAACATCCACACACTCATGAGTACACAAACACAAATTAATATGGTCACACGCGTTCACACACTAACCAAAAAGAATATGGAGGAACAGCATAGTCAAGCATACACATATATAGCTCAATGGCTATATTGGCTAGCAAAGGGAGGATGGAAAAAGCCAATCACAACTTTAGTTGTTCGGGCACTTCCTGCGTCGTCCGTAGCACTGCACCAAACTTCAAATAAAAGCGTCCACTCAGCAGAAGGTGTTATGTCATACTGTGTTACATTGTAGGCCGATGAGGTGCGAAGGGTCTTACCCAGGTGAAGATTGAGAAGAAGGAGAAGGTGATGGCTGCCCGGGCTGCGTCGCCTCCCTCCCTAAGTGGGTTGTCCTCGTGCTTGGTCACCTGCCACTGGTTGGCCAAGAAGCAGAAACCGACAAACCACATGAAGGACCAGAATGCTGGGGAGAGAGAAAAGTTAAGATCGGTGTTAAAATAATGATAGAAATGCAACAAGATACTTTCTGATGTTTAGCATTTTCTCTTGACTTTCTTTTTGTCAGTCTTGTAGATGGTTTGACGTTTTCAGAATATCTCATGTCTCCACTTAAAATTGAAGCTTGAGCCACCAGTCAGTTAGCTTAGCACAAAGACTATAAAACAGAACTTATAAAGGTCACTAAATAACATGTTCATTCCATCCATTCACATGCAGACTAGATGCTGCCTAAACACTTCACATGCAGACTATATTAGATGATACAATTTACTAATGTTCCCTGAACGCTTTCCATGCAGGCCATCGATAGATGCTAGCCACAGACAACATCGGCACCACAGTGCCTTAATGGAGTTTTAAGGGGGTTTAGAGTTGTCATTGCGAAACATACCAATATCACTGACCAATGGGGGCCCCAGATGTTTGCCTGGTTTTGCCTCTCCTGATGGTGTGCCCTTCTCATTAGTGAGCTTTAGAGGTCGTGGTGGGTGGAACGTTTTTTAACTTTGGACAGAGCCATGCTAGCTGTGCCCCCCAACTTCCAGTCTTCATGCTAAGCTAACTGCCTGCTGGCTGTTGCTCCATTTTTAGCATACAGACAAGAGAGTGGTATTGTATCTAACTCTTGGAAAAGAAAGCGAAAAAGAATAATCCCTAAAACGTCAAAGTATTCCTTTAAAACAAACGCCATAATCAATTAAAACATCCACATTCTTTGCCACCAGGTTTAGGGACAATTAGCAAAAGATTTTTTAAGGGTTTTTGTGTAGATTTCCCCTCATCTGAATCACAGGTCAAAGGATAGAGTGCTGTACGCTGTTTAATTGTAAAGCCGTCTGACACAATATTGATTTTGTGCTGTACTTTGTCTCGACACTGACATAGGAAAGGCAGGCCAAGAAAGCTAAACTGCTATAGTTAAAGGTCTAAAGCAGGTGAAAATTAAACCGTTTATAATTAGCATAACATTGACAAAGACTGCGGAGTTAATCAACTGAAAACAACAAGGGACCAATGATTGGCCCCTGAGGAAAACCACAAACCTCATCCAGTGGTGGCAACCAGAGAAGGAGAGAGGTTCAAACATTATGCCATTACATCCACTGCAGTTGTTAGTGTGGCAGTGAGGGAGGAAAAAGCTTAATCAGAAACATCCAGGTCCGATTACGACACCTGTTCCCTTGCTTCAATAAGGTACAAAACATCTCATAACACAGACATGGTTGGAGAGAGAGAGCAGGTGTATGAGTGATGAAAACAGGGAAGGAGAATCTTGTCTATGACAGGAATGGCCTCATTAACCGACTCAATACTTGACTATCTTGTCACCATATCTGAGTTCACTGCAGTAGCAGTGCAGCAGAGAAGGAGAGGAAGCCACTGTCAGAGACACAAAGCACAATGTGTCAGCGCCTTGTTAGAGCACTCCTCTCCTTATTATCCCTCTCATACCTCATCTCCTTTCATTCATGATGATAACCCATCTATGTATGTCATTTATTTATAGATTGAAAAGATTGCTCACATTTTCTGTGAGGATAGAGGATTTGGGGGCTTTTGATCAGCTGGGAAAAACTGTACAAGAATATGGCAATAAACTACAATTACCAGCTGAGTTGCCAGAAATATGGTCACAATCTGCTCTTCCTGAGTTACATCGCTGAATAATGGCCAGAAGTGATTTTGAAGAACATTATGATGAACAGTGAAGTTTACTTTGAATATAAAATGTAATCACTTCAATCGGTCTTGAGATGTCATGTTCAAGAGGTCCATAATCTGTTTTGTGAGGTCACACTGGCCTTGACCTCTGACCTTTCTTTGATCACAATCCAATCGCATAAATATCTCTGAAATGAGAATATACCTTCAGAACTTTCCTAGATGTGCTTTCAATACTGTTGTTGTCTTTACAAAAATTAATTTCTTTTAGTGTTAAAATCATTAATGATTAATGACATTAACAATTTTCTCACATGTCATCCATCCATTGCCACTGGGTCAAATGACTGTGTAATATGAAAAGGATTGCTCACAGTGCTGAACCCACTGGAAATCAACAGCCGACTAAGGAGCACTTTTCAGCTTTTAGCCCCTTTTGGTCTCATTTGTGTCTGCTGAATTTGCTGTAATGTTTTCCAAAACAACCGCATAAGCTAATAGTACTATAGTCCCAGGAGGTAGACATGGAGGGAACCCTCCCAGCATGCACCAAACCCACAGACATAATGTATGTGTGTCACAGTATTATGCCTTGTGCTTGTCAGATCATCTAAAATAAATCTAAAAAGCAAAAATCCAGTGATCCCATCCATTATACGCAGTGACTGATGTACAGAGACAATATTTGAACTCACTGCAGCTCTCTCTCTCTTTAGTCTTTATACAACTACTCCCACTTCATGTGTATAATATATTGTAACACCATGCATGTCTTTGAGGAGAGTGTATGAAACACTGTATGAACACATGTTCCGTTATTCCCATCATGTCTTACACGTCTCTACAACAGCAGGCTTTTCCCCGTCTTTGAGTGCGACTGCTCAGAACAGTTACAAAACACTCGTGCCTCGCCTTGGATGGTCGGATGGCGCATCGTATGAACTACTAAGCATACCCTGAGCTCTTGAGAACCCTTGCTTGCCACAGATGTGCATGTAAAGTCCCCGTTTGTTTTGCTAACTTTCCCAGTGGTAAAATTTTTACTGCAGTTTTTGCCAGAAAAGTGAAGATAACAGAGTAGATAGCATTTGGGATTCATCTTATCGACATTTAATAAGTTATAACTGATGGATGCAACAAAGCCTGTCTGCAACACTGCTGTTGTGAGTGCTTTATAAATTCATCCAGTGGTTTATTGGATGAAAATGTTTTAATACACTGATTCTGCTTCTCTCGACTCGCCTCTCCATGTCTGTGATTGATACAGCAGGCAGTAGTTTGTTGATCAGCTCATGTTACCACCTCTCACTGAGCCTCAGATTGAAGCCTATTGTACCTGCAGCTGCTGTAATATAACCCCTTAATGGTGCTTTATCACATGAATATAGGCCTAGTCTAGGAAATTACCTTGTTTAATCGTGACCGGCTTTTGCTTAAGAGACTAAAAAGTCAATGTCAAGTCTGAAATGAATAATTCTTATTCTAATAATAATGTTTTTAATTCATCTACATTGAATCTCAGATGAATGAATGTCATTCATCTGGACTCTGCAGAACTGTAGAACTACAGATCTGCTCAACAGCTTCATTCAAGCCTGAGAGGTTTAAGCTTATTTAGGTTTCAATTGGTTTCAGCTGGTTTTATTTGACTTTTATTTGATCCTATACCCCATGCTCTACCCCATGCCAGCACTAACCCGTATCTTGTGGCTCATTAAGTTATAAATTAGGGGCTGCTGTTTGTGGTGTTACTGTGAGTCCTGCAGCCACTCCTGTAAGTCAAAGCAGCAAAGTCTTTGGGTGTTACAGCAACCTGGAGAGCTGCGTTGGTGGGACACGTGATCTCCGCCTTGCAGTCATTTATTTTATGATCTATTAAGTGTTATTGCCTCACAAGCTGTGCAGCACTTTGTGAGTCTGTTTTGAAAGCGTTATAGAGCTGGAAATGATTTGTCCCAAGTTCATTAGTATCAATTTCCCAGTACACTGTTTCCTTACACCCCCGTTCATGCATCCATCTTCCCATGCTGTGTAGTTCCTCAAAACTTCACTCTTGTGTAAAGAGAAAAACATGCTTGTTCTGCAAGATTATGCAAAAAAAAAAAAGTTTATGTTTAAAATGGGTTTTACTTTGCTGCAAAATATCTTCTGGCTTCTCCTTTTTCTTGCCTAATGTTTACATGGTTTTCATAAGGTACAAAAGCCCATAAAATATATATAAATTATATTTTTATACATCATAGTCTATATGTTAGAATTTCTTTCTATTTCACTGTTAAATGTTTAAGATGTATGTGAATGAAAAAAAGACATGTACATACAGGAGTATTAAAAAAAACAAGAGAAAACAAGTATGTTGTGTTGTAAAGTTTGTATGAATAACGTGTTTACCCGACACCCCAATATCAGCCAGCACAGCCTTCTTGCGGTCTTTGACACTGCTGATCTGGGGGAAGTACACGTCGAGAGCCAGGAAGGCCATGCAGCAGAGGAAAGCCATGGAGCCCATGAAGACGCCATAATTACAGGCGTTCTGGTTGCGGTTGAAGATGCAATACTCTTCCACTTCTTTGGGGCCGTTGGTGTAGCCCTCATTGGCGATGCAGCCAAAGATCACGATGGAGAAGAGCTGCAGAGAAGAAGAAAAGAAGAAAGGATGGGACTGTAAGAGAAGAAATAAGGCAGGTGTTTGTAGCTCATGGTGGAACACGCTCTCGCAACATGTGGTGCGCCATGGTCCCATTGTCCATCCTAATTATTCTCCTACTTTCATATTGAGTGACTCCTCCTCCATGTGTGTCCTCTAGTAAAATAATGTTTGTTCACACACAAATCTGAAGCCCTTTGCTCAGGTTTGTATTTGAGCACCAACCACCTCACCCGGGTCTCCACTCGCATGTTTGGAATAATTCATAAAAGCCCTTTACAGCTCAAAAGAATACCACCTGCTGTCGTCAGACGGTATATTTAGACTGACTGTGTAATTTATGAATAAGAAACACTCCAGCGTGACACTCTCAGCCCATAATGTCACGACAGCCCTGCAGGGGAGTTTCATGAATAATCCTTCATGTCTTTTTTGTCCAATGTGCCTCTGGGTTTCCTCTGGAATTTGACTGTGGTAAAATTTGCCTTTCCCTGCTATTCTGCAATTTACTATGACAGCTACTGAAACCACAGTGATGTGAATAATACATATATAATGTTTAGTGAAGATTTTATATGAATAAAGACATCTAGGCTGTATCCAAAGTGGAAAAATAATCTGTACTTGCTACTGTTTTTGCAAAAAGAGGCTTCCATCGTCTTTTGATAAGGGTAATTACCTCACCAATAACTACTGCACATAAATATTGATGATATTACAACTAATCGCTTTCTGTTGTATTACACTGTTGTCCTGAACGTACTGGTTGTGTTTTCTGCCCAGGGACTGTAGATTCAGATGACTGGTGCACAGCTCCTATCAAATAAACAGTGATTTAAAGGAAAACTAAATTCCCTGCTACCTTTTATAAATCTCAAAAACCTTGTGAGTGTGGTTTTATAGCTATTGTGTTTAATCGAAACGAGCCCACCTGTTGTTTTTGCAGCAGCTTATTATGACCTGTAGTCACGTTTTGTTGCTAGGCGACATCTAGTGGTCGTAGCAATTATGACAGGAGTAAAGGGAAAAGTGCGGTGACGGAGTATAAAGAGCGACCAAGTCCACGTCAGGAGGAGGTTGTGGTGGGCGGATGGGTCAACGAGACACAGGAGAGCGGTGTTCGATTCCCATGTGAAGCCAGTAGTTCATATTGTTTCTATTATCCATGACCGTTCAATGTTATTATCGTAACCACGACAACAAAGATCATCTGATGTTGAGGAAGTACTTATTTTAACCCAAATCGTGATCTTTTCCTAACCCTAACCAAGTAGTTTTTGTGCCTAAATCTAACCAAGCCATGACCGTTATTATAGTAACCACAGCAACGCTCTCAGTACAGCCGCATGTTTATAATGGTAACCATGACAGCCGAGGTCCGGTACTATTTCAGGAGACACTCCTATGGGTCGTATCAGAGGGTTGAAAAAAACGACCTGTATAGTTGTTCAGGTTGGAGGAGTTGTTGGTTTAATATAAGCAGTCGTCTTGTGACTCTTTGCCGTGTGAAATCCTCTTTAAACCAAGTGTCTAATTCAAAAAAATGGATGGTGTTGAGTGGAAATGTACTGCTGGAGAGGTTTAATCCATACAGCGGCGGTCCGGCTGAGGAGGAGGAGGGATGACGACAGTGACAAAATGCAGTCAATGGATGGAGGAGGTTACTATGATAACATCTGATACCTCACTCGTTCATCTCTCCTTTCATCCTCTCTCCTCCTCTGTCCTTTCTTTTACTTTCTCCTCCTCTCCCGTCTGGCAGTGTCTGGAGGAGTGGAGACACAGAGGGCTACAAAATGGAGTCAATAACAGGAGCATGTTACTAAGATACCATCTAATTCTCCTCTCCTCTCCTCTCCTCTCCGAGGTCATAAATTTGAGACCACACACACACACACACACACACACACACACACACACACACACACACAAACACCCACAGTGTTAGTATTCCACCCTGCAGTGCAGTGTAGCAGTCTGCTTTCTACTTCAATTGATAACCGCGGATCAGACAACTCCATCCAACTGACAAAGCCTCACACCAAACCTCCAGGGAGCGAGGTCTGTCTGGATATGGACCCAGGCTGAGCGTGTTTATGTTTGTCTGCAGTCGATTCTGTTGTGGTGAGTGATGGATTCTCAATGTGTGTGTGTTTGTGTGTGTGTGTGTTTGAGAGCCAGAAAGCTAGGAGTGGACCTTGGGTTAGTGGATAGTTTACCCAGCTGTTGTGTCTGTGTTTGTGTAATAAATGACAGCGCTACAAAAGGAGAACACACAATAGACTATCCTTCCACTGACAGGCCCCGACCATGAAGGCCAACAACCAGGCCGGGCGGAGACGGGCACGTCAGTCAGGACGGGGATTACACCGCAGCTTTTCTTTTTCACTCTTTGCTTCTTTATCTGCTTTCAAGCCCCCTCGGTTTCTTTCCACTGTCTGCTCCTCACCGCGTTTTCATTAACTGACACCGAGAGCTCGACATCTGAAGCGCCAGCCGAAGCAGCCTATAACTCTGTTAAATGTACTCGACGCAGACTTCATTTCAAGTCTGAGATTTTGAGATTCAACCCATTTGACTGTGTGAGGAGGGGGAACTTGAAATGCAAGTCACTTTGCTTTGTTATTGTGCTTCTCTTTGAAGGAATTCCCCATTGTCCTGTTTGATCCCAGTACTGGCCCAGTTAACACCAGTATGTGTGTGACAGTAATCCTTCCTCTAAGACTTTGTATAAGACAACAAAGAAACTTTATACCTAATGTTGAGGTATAATGTTTTGCAAAAAAAATATTGGTATTGAGCCCCGTTGAACAATGAACTGTGACGATACCGGAGGCAATGTCATTGAAAAATGATTAAAATATTTGTGAAAATTATCAAGATGAAACATAGAGGAGACTTTAAAAACTTGTAACTGAATGAATCAAAACCAAAACTCGACTTAAAGTCCTCTCACTACTTTTTACAGAGCTTTCAGCTGCATCTCATGGTGTTCCGCGGCGGATGAAGTTATCACATGAGCGCAGTGATATACAGTACTTAGGTCTAGACATTTATTCTCCCCAGAGAGTGAGTCCTAATAACTGACTTCTCATCGAGCGCCATCATCAGGCAAAATTTCAATTTGTCCAATGCTTGATTAAATATCTAATAATAAATAATAAATAACTAATAAGATTCACATCAGCCTCTGTTGTGTTGATTAGCAAATGTTAGAATGCTAACATGTTAAACTGAGATGTTGAACATGGTAAACATTATACCTGCTAAACATCAGCATGATAGGATTGTCATTGTGAGCATGTAAATATGTTAATTTACTTATTAGTGTTTTGTTAATAAGGAACATATTTTAGGAGACAGGATTGAAATGTTGTTTCTGGTGTAATACAGAATATGAACCATTAACATCTCAACAGATAAATCCATAACAAAGCTATTCAGAGCCAGCCTTTTCTCCCAAAATCTAATCTGAGTTCTTAACTTGTGCATTTCTGCCTTATTTTAACTCTGTTCATACTTGTAAATGAGTTCAAGTGACTTTGATGTAAAGTAAAACTTTCCATTCAAAAAGACAGTAGTCAAGGTGACTGAGTGACCTACGCATCAGGTCTTTGAGATCATGTGTCATAGTGCAAAATGTTGTTAAAATAACATGTCAGCACTTTAAGTTTTGTCTTTAAAATGAGTCTTTACAGGTTTCACAGTAGAAATATCTTTCAATTGAATTCCAGTATGAGTTTTCTCTCTGGGTGAAAGGAGAGCAGACAGTTGTAATTCTCACTAATTGATGAAGCAACCACTAAGTCACTTGTATTAATCAGCAGTAACACAAGTGAGTGTGTATTTAATAGTATATACAGTAACACATGGTCATTTTGTTGCTATTACGTGGTAATAATTCCCATTTTAAAGACACACTGAGTGGAGATCTTTGGCTTTCTCCAGCCTGTGCAGAGGAGTCACGAGTTGGCATTTGAAGCCTGTGTCTTGATGACATACTGGAACAGTGTGTTAGCAAGCGTGCACAACCTTTCTGCTTCCTTCACCCTCCCTCCGTCCCCTCTCTGCCTCTCTAGCCTCCTGCGCTCCTCTCTCCATGGAACGAAGGATGTGTGTAGGAGGATAGTAACACCTCAATCCCCTCCTTCATCTACCTGCACTCTTTTTCATGGGGAGGGGGGGGGGGTTATGAAGTGATGGAGGGATTGCAGAGGGGATGAGCGGAGGAAAGCGTTGGGGGCAGAAGGGGTATGGAGGCGGTGCTATTTTTAGACCGGCTGCATCATCGCTCCCTCCCTCCCTTCCTCCCGTCTTCTCCCATCTCCTCTCGTTACTGGCCCTGCCTCTGCCCACGAGTTTTCTTGAGAACACACACACACACTCAACCATATACAGCTCAAACACACACAGTTTGTCCACTGCTTCACATGCCTGGCTTACTTTAAGATTCAGGTCAGAAAACACAAAGTCACACACACACACACACACACACACACACACATACACATGAACACAGGCGCACACACAGTCAATCACATGATGTCGGTGGGATGTCAGAGCACTCTGTCTGCTCATGTAACACACCTATACTAAACACACATACACTGAAAAGAAAAGTGGCCTGTGTGTGTGTGTTATTTAACTTACTTAGTTCCTCTCTTCTGTCTTTGGAAAAAAACTTTCTATCTTCTCAGTTTATATTTCCTTTCCTACCACAGACAAACCTATTATTGTCACACATATTACATATTGTCGTGCTGGTGGAGTTAGCTAAGGATATAAGGATATAAACATACGCAACATGAATGCAACATAAAAGCACTTCTTTAACACAAAAGGTGTACTAACCAGAGTTATGTCATTGTAACAGGGGATGGTGTATACTGTATATATTTATTGGGGTTCATTAAGATTCTTTTAGGAAGAGTCTATATTTTTCTTTCACGATATATAATTTTAGACTCTGATCTCTCCGATCA